AACAACAACAACAACAATCACATAACAAATTCTCTATACTTTTCTCCCACTCTATTTTTCAAGTAAACAGAAGGGAAAAAATCTTAGCATTCCTTCTGCCAAGGAAGTCTCTCTTCTTTGGAGGGAAGATATTTATTTTACTTCACTTTTTTCTTTTAATGTTTTCCGAGTATGCCTACCTTAGAACTTGTCTCTGACATTCCGCTAGAATGACACTCTACAGCTAAAATACAGCTAGAAAAATGATGCATTTGTCATGTTTAAAAAATTGATACTTACCAAAGGGGACATTTTTCGTCTTCTTGATGGAGATATCTCACTTTCCTTAGCTGCTTGTTCGTGCAACAAAGCTTTGAGTTGATTAACTATAGAACAAAAGCAATAGGTTCATTAATTTAACTTGAGATTCATGATTTATCACCTCACATCCATGCTGCCACCAAAGCAACAAATGTTTAAATATATTTTATGCATCAATAGCTTTGCTATTCACAAAGATAAATAATGAAAATAATGTAGGAGCTAAGAATCTGGAGAGGAAGAAAGGTATTTTCTAGATACAAAAACAATAATAAGTTTGGATGCAAATATAGTCCTACAAGAAAAGAAAGCGCATAACTACCTGTTTTCACCATGAAGGATGAACAGGAATTCACTGAACAGTAATTCACCAAGAAGAAAAATATGAGAAACATTCCAGTTACAAAATATTCTAGAACATGCAAAAGCATAGAAGTATGGCCAGGAAGATGGTATGACTAGAGTAGAACATGCTTACATGGGATGGATGTTTATGACAGAAAAATGAGGCTGCAGAGGTATAAGCTAGAGTGCTCTTAGGAAACTGTTGATATGAATTTGCCTTGTAGTAAATGGGATGGCAATGGGGGAAAAAAATAAGCAAAGGAATTATATTATCTGATTTGTGTTTCAAAAATAAATCCTACCAATAGAGTGAAAGATTGCTGTAACTCTCTGGAGGTTAAAGAATTCACTATGTAATGTCCTTGCTAGGACTGACTTTCACAAACACTCACCAGCATGGCTATGTTGAAGTTCTTGCCAGGCAGTCCCAGTGTCCTCATTTCCTGCACTGGTGCTAAAAGAAGGTTCTAGTACATCTTCTCCAACTGTGAAATCCCCTTCTCTCAGGGCACATTTCAGTTGATGAATGCTTCTATTGGCACGTTCTACAACAAGAAACACGATGAAAGTCAAGGCCAATGAAATAAGGATGCATCACAAAGACACCTGCTTAAGAAAGTAGTTTCTAAAGGTGAAGCAATTACTTTGTGCAGAATTCAGAATCTAGTTAAGGGAGGAAAATGCCAGAGGAAGTGAGAACAGTTCATGGGTAGAGGTTCGATTTGAGGATCTCTAAGGAGCTCTGGTGGAGTCCTGGTGTGGCGCTGTGGGTTAATGAGCCAGACTGCAAAGTCATTTGAACTGCAAAGTCGGTGGTTCAAGCTCATTAGTTTTACCTCAGAAACCCTATACAGGGTCGCCATGGGTCGGAATTGACTCAATGGCACTTAACAACAACAAAGGAGGTCTGGTAGCATATTGGTTACGAGTAGGGCTGTTAACCTCAAAGTCAGCAGTTCGAAACTACCAGCCATTACACAAGAGAAAGATGAGGCTTTCGGCTCCCATAAAGATTTACAACATTGGAAACCCTATATAGGGTCGCTATGCATTGGAACCAACTCCATGGCACAACACTACCACCACCAAGGTTCTGGTCACCTAAATGGCTGATATTCACTATATATAACAATGCTAGCAAGGAAAGCCACCCTACTCCAATGCCAGTGGTCATAGGAAGAAGACTTTCTCTTTTAGGCCTAAGAACCCCTACCCACATCTGGAAACACTGGAGTCAACAGACAGAAGTGACAGAAGGAACCACACTACACCAAGCCCTGACCCCAAGAAGTAAATGTTCCCATCAGCCTGGCACATTCTTACACTCCCCTCAAGAGACACACAACTGCCTGACTTAGATACTTTCTTTTTAGGAAGTATTAGTCAATTACTCCACCACTCATCTGTCAGTTTGTCGTACTGTGGTGGCTTGTGAGTTGCTGTGATTCTGAAAGCTATGTCATCAGTATTTTAAATACCAGCAGGGACATGCATGGTGGACAGGTTTCAGATGAACTTCCAGATGAAGAAAGACTAGGACGGAGGAGTGACAAATCACTTCTGAATTTGTTCTGCTGTGCAGAGGGTTGCTATGAGTCGGAACTGACTTGATGGCACCTAACAACAACAAGTCAATTACTAAGGGAAGAAATAAAAAAAGAAATACAAACATTCCTCAAATCAAATGGCAATGAAAAGAAAACATACTAAAACTTTTAGGACACAGCAAAAGCAGTACTCAGAGAGCAACATACAAGAATAAATGCACATAATATAAACGAAGAAAAAACCAAAATCAACACCTTAGCTCAACATATACAACAACTAGAAAATCAACAGCAAAGTAAGCCTTTGTTGTTGTTAAGTGACGTTGAGTCGGTTCCGACCCATAGTGACCCTCTATAGGGTTTCCAAGGAGCATCTGGTGAGCTTGAACTGCTGACCTTGAAATTCAAACGATTTGCAGTCTGGCACATTAACCCACAGCACCACACTAGGACTCCAAAGTGAGCCTGTTGTTGTTAAGCGCCGTCAAGTTGGTTCCGACCCATAGTAACCCTGTACAGGGTTTCCAAGGAGTGCCTGGTGAACTTGAACTACTGATCTTGCAGTTCAAATGGCTTTGCAGTCTGGCACATTAACCCACAGTGCCACACCAGGACTCCAAAGTAAGCCTAGTCACCCAAATAAAAGAAATAAATATTAGAGCAAAAATGAATAACACAGAGCCATAAAGGCAAGCAATCAAATCCCTTCAGGAAAAACCCACTCCAAGACTAAAACCCAAAGGGAACACACGAACAGGCATGTAAACCTGCTGGCAACCATGTTGGTCTACTGGTGAGTGGAAGAGGGGGAAATGCAGCAATGAAGCTATGGATTGAGTTCAACCATGTTCAATAGACTCCCGTCAACCTGGAGATGAGAGAGAGGAGGAAGGGCTGGGTGGTTCAAAGTGTGGTAAGACTGGGTACTTCTGAGACCATGGGTAAGGACACAGAGGGCTAGAGCTGAGAGTGAAGCATCCAGCAAATACAAAGTGAGGGGAGACACACAAGAACATTCAAACTTGCATACAGTTCCCATGTGACCTAGCCTGGAGGACTTGATGATCAGAACTTGACTAGAGGAAGGAAAAAAAAAAATTTTTTTTATAAAGGACACAAATGTAAATTGCTACAATTTGATGAACTTGACTTATACTTATGGATGTAGTATCTCAAAATACCAACTGACAGGGAAGGAGCCTTCACATCAAGTGTCAATCCTATCCTCTCTGTATACAGGGTTGATAGGGACAGGTAACTTAGACATTGGCTATCTAAAATAGCAGGGGCTATAAAGGTGCAAAGTGACTGGCTTACAAGTTTTCAAGAGGGGGTTTAGTTTCAGAGTGTTCAGGGGAAGGTAGAATCCCCAAGGAATAGTTTTCATCATGTCTAGAGGGGTTTGGTGAAAGGATATGGAGATAAGATTCTTATGCTTCAATACTGAGTAATTGTTATCATGACTAATTGTGAATGTCACAACTGTAAAGGTAGAAGTTCTGTAACAAAAAGGGAGAGTAGTTAATCTTTTAGTCCAGGAACAGAGGACCCTAGGACCATCAAGAGAGAACATGAGCAGAATGTGGGACTCTATCCAGAGAAGCAGCAACATCAGCAATGGAAGCAGAGATGAGGACATGCAGAGAGAGGGCAGCTGAGGACTCTAGACACATGGAAAGAGAAAGGCTGTGTGCTGGTGGCCAGAAGGCAGGCTTACAGAATGTGTGCTTGGGTTGTTTAAATTATTATATATTCCTGAGTATTTCTGTGTACACCCAAAACCAAAAAATCCCCCCAAAAAACAGAGGGAATAGAAACAAATACTATTCAATGATGAAGCACGGAGGAGATTGTAATCATTGTAATGACAATGAGTGTAAAACTGATGTTCTCCCATGTAAACTATCACTCAATTCATAACAAAATCTTAAAAAGAATAAAATTAATAAAACAGAAAACAATATATAAAATCAACAATACTGAAGTTGGTTCCTTGGGAAGATTAATAAAATTGACAAAGCACTGGTAAATTTAAGAAAGATAAAGAAGGAGACAATACAAATAACATGAATAAGAAATGAAATGGGTGACTTCACTACAGAACCAATGAAAATAAGAAGGGTGATAACATAACACGATTTAGAATTGAACTCTAACCAATTTTAAAACCTAAAATAAATAGACAAGCTTCTAGAAACATACTAACATAGACCGAAAGAGAAAATTTGAACAGACTCACAAAAAAATCCAGGCCCAGATGACTTCACCAGTGAATTCTACCAAATGTTCAGAGAAGAGTTAACCCCAGTTCTACTCAAACTATTCCAGGGTACAGTAAAGGATGGAAAACTCCCAAAATCATTTTATGATGCAAGCATAACCTTGATACCGAGAAAAGGCAACAATACCACTAAAAAAAGAGAATTCTTGATTTCTGGCTGGGGGGCAGGAAAAGTAGAGACAAACAGTAAAACTCCTCTGACAAAACCTGCAAATAAGCAGAGAAAGAGTGGTCTGCAGAAAAACTGCGGAGCTTTGGATCCTGTTTAAGGTTCCAGGAGCCAGTTTTCAGCGCCCATTGAGAAGAAATCTGCCTATGGAAGCAAAATACGATGATTTCTGAATTGATCCAGCCACAGCAGCCAGTAGTCAGAAGTCCTCAGGCAGAGGAAGGGGCCACAGCCAAGTGGAGGCACCAACCCAGCACTAGAAGCCATGGAGCTGCGCATCTGAAGGGAGAGGTGTGACTGATTTTACATCTTTCAACATCTTTCAGTTTTCATTTTTCACTTATCTCTCCTCTTCACACCAATCATGCCCTCACTGCACAGCCCAGATGCCTTCAGGAGGGTGGGAGGACACCCCTAAAAGGGTCCAGCATTGCACCCATTTTCCAACGGCACAGAGAGAAAACCCACAGGGTAATTCTTATGACATTTAGACACTGAGAACCAGCCCCAAAGTTTACCTAGGTGGGACCCTTTGCACAGCAAAGGCCAGTGAATTCTACCAAATGGATTGAGTTCAACCATGTTCAATAGACTCCCGTCGACCTGGAGATGAGAGAGAGGAGGAAGGGCTGGGTGGTTCAAAGTGTGGTAAGACTGGGTACTTCTGAGACCATGGGTAAGGACACAGAGGGCTAG